TGTCTCGATCGGTTTGCTAGTTTTGGTGGCCAGGCTCGTGGGCGCAGATTCTTCTCAGGATGCCACAGGAGGCTCCAGGAGGCTCCAGGAGACCACATGAGGTCCCAGGAGGCATCAGGAGGCCACAGAAAGACTCAAGAGGCTACAGGATGTCCCAAGAGGCTCCAGGAGGCCCCAGGAAGCTCCAGAAGGCTTCAGGAAACCACAGGAGGCCCCAGGAGGCAACAGGAAGCGCCAGGAGGCCTCGGAAGGCAACAGGAGGCCCCGAGAGGTCCCAGGAGCAGGAGGCCTCAGAAGGCAACAGGAGTGGCTCCAATCCCATGTGTTTTACGTATGCTCCTATCGATTGGGCCTCACCTGGAGCACGATTATTTGATGTTCTACGTATGTTTCTATAGATGGTCCTTCTCCTGTGTACACAATCCTAAATGTTTTACTCATGTTCCTATGTATTGGGCCTCTCCTGGGGCACGAGTCCTTGGTGTTTTACGCGTGTTCCTATAGATTGCCCTTCTCCTGTGGCTCTAATCCGCAATGTTTTATGTACGTCTGTTGCTATAGATTGCGCCTCCCCTGGGGCACGAAACCTTCCTAGGAGGTCCCAGGAGGTCCCAAGAGGCTCCTGGAGACCCCAGGAAGCCCCAGTAGGTTTCAGGAGGCCCCAGGAGGCCCAGGCTCATGCACAGAGACGCGCTCGTACTACTGAGGCTCATTCACACTCCAATTCATTCGCAGTTAGATTGATGTCCAGACCGTCACAACTGAAGCCCGTTAATATTCGAAAGCTCTTGCGCCTAGACATTCACGGCGGACAGGTCCATGCGAGTAGATGCACATATGGGGAGCTCCACGCAGTGAATAATTTTTTGTCCATTTTGGAGTACTCTTTGACTGTTTGTTTTCTTTTTTTTCCAAGATCCCCCTGTAGGAGGACGCGCCCGACCTGAATGTAGGTCCACACTCAGGAGCGCGCGAGCCCCTCCACCGCTTCCTCCCTCAGAGTGCTACAACTTCCAAATTCTGGGCGGACCTCGAGAGCGACTTCTTGAAGTTCACATGCCTGTGACCGGGCTCCGGCACGCCCGCGCCGCCCAGGGGCCTGCCGGCCCGCCGGCCGGCGGACTCGCGTCTATTCCTATTCCTATTCCCTCTCTCCATCCCCGTTCACCCCACAGCAGCCAGGAGTCGCGATTGCTTCGCCCTGGACGACAAGAAGGAGCTGGCGCGTGCCCACCAGGCCTCTCGTCGCTCGTGTTTCGTCCCGCCCTGTCAACGCTCGCGTGCCCGCAGCAGGTATTCTCCATGGGTTCCTGCTGGATTCAATGCAGAGCGCAAGGTGCCGTGCAGCTGAGGGTTCGAGAGCACTTGATCTTCGATGCATCTTTCCAGCTGCTCTCGTCCTCTGACGGGAGCTGTGACGTCTCGCTTCCCGGGCCCCTGCGCGGACGAAGGCGCGATAGGGGGTCAAGTTTCGTTTTTTTGGGGGGGTGGGGCTCTCCTGGGGCCCTCTCGGGTCGTCGTCTCCCCGCTAGGCCCCCTCTTTCCTGCCTCCCCTTCGTCGCAAGGGGGGGATGGGGGGTGGGGCGATCCCTTGCCTTCCCAGGGTCTGTGGCCCCCTCGCGGGGAGGCACACGCGAGGAGGTCTGCCGCTCTCTTCGGGCCCCATCCCCGGTGGTGACCCATCCCGTCGCCTTGGGACTGGCCCGTGGCACGGGCGTCCTCGTCTTGCTTTTTTCTGGATCAGCGGAGGAGGAACACCAGGGGCAGCAGGAGCACATCAGCAGCAACAGCAGGAGCGGGCGGATGCGGAGGAGGAGGAAGAAGAGGATGATGATGCTGATGATGATGCTGCTGCTGATGTTGATGTTGATGATGATCATGATGTCCATGATGATGGGGATGATGATGAGGAGGAGGCGGATGATGATGATGATGATGATGATGATGATGATGATGATGATGATGATGATGATGATGATGGTGATGGTGGTGGTGATGATGATGATCACATTGATGATGATGATGATGATGATGATGATGATGATGACGGTGCTGCTGATGATGATGGTGGTGGTGGTGATGATGGTGATGATACTGATGATGGTGTTGATGATGTTGTTGATGATGATGCTGCTGCTGATGATGATGAGGATGAGGATCAGGAGGAGGATGAGGATGATGCTAATGATGATGCTGATGATGATGATGGGATGATGACGATTATGATGATTATGATGATGATGCTGCTGCTGGTGATGATGATGATGATGGTGCTGATGCTGCTGATGATGATGATGCTGATGTTGATGATGATGATGATGAGGATACTGATGCTGATGCTGGCGATGATGATGATGATGATGATGATGAGGATTTGATGATGATGCTGATGATGATGATGATGATGATACGATGATGAACGATGATGCGGATGATGATGATGATGATGATGCTGCTGATGATGATGATGTGGTGGTGGTGGTGTGTGGTGATGATGATGATATGATGATGCTTATGATGACGATGATGCTGATGATGCTGCTGCTGCTGATGATGATCATGATGCTGATGAATGATGATGATGATGATGATGATGAGGAGGAGGAGGAGGGCGAGGAGGGAGGAGGAGGAGGAGGAGGAGGAAGGGGGAAAGAGGAGGTGGAGGAGGAAGAGGAGGGAGGGGGAGGAGGAGGAGGAGGAGGCAGGATTGGAAGAGGAGGTGAGGAGAGAGGAGAGGAAGGATGGGCGGAGGAGGGAGAAGGGGAGGAGGGAGGAGGGGGGGGAGGAAGAGGAGGAGGAAGAGGATGAGGGGAATGGGGAGGGGGGGGGAAAAAAGGGGGAGGATGAGAGGAGGAGGATCAGGGGAGGAGAATGTGCCGATAGGAGAGGAGGAGGAGGGAGGGAGGAGTAGGAGGGCGGGATGCGGAGGAAGGCGGAGGCGGAGGCGGCGGAGGATGGGGAGGAGAGGGGCGAGAGGCGAAGGAGGGGGGAGGAGGAGTAGGAGGAGAGAGGGAGGAGGTAGGAGGAGGAGGAGGAGGAGGGGGGCGAGGAGGGGGGGGCGGAGGAAGGAGGAGGAGGAATCAGAGACGAACCGCGACGTTACATATAATAAGGATAAGATGAAAGGAGCAGGGGGGTGGGCGCAGAGGATTGATGAGGAGGAGGAGGGGAGGAGGAGGAGGCGGAGGGAGTAGGAAGAGGGAAGAGGGGGGAGGTGGGGGGGGGAGGAGGAAGGAGGATGCGGGAGATGAGGAGGAGGAGGAGGAGGAGGAGGAGGAAGGGAAGGGGAGGAGGAGGGACGTGAGGAGGAGGAGGAGGAGGAATGAACACACGAAGAAGACTAATAACACTAATACAACGAATATTACTAATAAGAATAATAAGACGAATGCTCAGACTACGGCGAATAACATAGTAGTAATAATACTATTAGTAAAATAATAACAATACTACAACTACGAACACCAATCGTACTAATAATAATAACCATAAGAATAACAATGTGAATCTTACGCAACCGAAGGCTACTCATACGACTAGAAATAGTATACGATGAATAAGACGACTACTACGCATACTAAGATGAAACATACGAATATTAATAAGAATACGAAGACGAAGAGGAGGATGAGGAGGAGGCGTAAGCGGCGGAAGAGGGGGACGAGGAGGAGAACGAGGCGGATGAGGGAGAGGAGGGGGAGGGGGGAAGAGGCGGAGGCGGAGGAGGATGAGGAGGATGTGGAGGAGGAGGCGGAGGAGGCGGAGGAGGCGGGCGGGAGGAGGCGGAGAAGAAGAAGGAGATGCGGAAGGAGGAGGAAGGCCGAGGGGAGGAGGAGGAGGAGGAGGAGATGAGTGGGGGGGGGTAGGGGAGGAGGAGGAGGGGGGCGGAAGCGGACGGGCCGGGCCGGCGGGGCGGAAGGCGGGGGCGGGAGCGAAGGTAAGCGGCGGAGGAGGAGGAGGAGCAGGAGGAGAATGATGAGAATGAGGCGGATGAGGGAGAGGATGGGGAGGAGGAGGAGACGGAGGAAGAGGAGGAGGAGGCGGAGGAGGAGGAGGAGGCGGAGGAGGAGGAGGAGAGGGAGGAGGAAGCGGAGGAGCAGGGAGGGGAGACAGAGAAGCAGAGGCAGGGTGGCAGGAGGGGTGCTCCCGCTGTCGCCCCTGGCAACGGCTTTGCGCTTTACGCCTTTGCCCGCGCGCAGGTCGCTGAGCAAATTTACCGCGGGTGCGCCGAGGCGGTCTTGGGCACAGCGAGCGTGGCGGGCTCAAGGTTCCTCGCGGCGGCTCCCCTAGCACCCAACAGCTCAGTTTTCCCATCCCCTCTCCCGTCGGCGTCGCCGCGAACGAGGTCCCCGTGGGACACCGTGTATTTGGTGTTAGGGCGACGTTTGAACGTGTCGGTGCCTATCTCGGGTGTTCAAAGCCACGGGGGTCATGGCTTGGAGTTGCCGTTGTGGTGTTCCACTGGTGATTGTCGTGGTCGACCGCTCAGCTCCACGTGGAAGTACAGCATGTCATTGTTTGCTCGTCCGTTCGGCTCTTCCTGGAGCGCTCCCATGTGTGAGTTCGCATGCCCTCCATGGCACCAGGACATGTGTAGGGACATAGAGGGGGGAGAGAGATATAGAACGAGAGAGAGAGAGAGCTAGCGAAAGAGCGCTGCATCCACATCTTATGTTTGTATTTGGAGGGGGGGATGGCGACAGTGGGAGAGCGAGCGAGAGCGAGAGAGAGAGAGAGAGAGAGAACGAGAGAGAGCCGTAACACAGTTCGATAGGGGGCGGAGGGCGAGAGAGAGTGTGTGAGAGAGGGAGGGAGAGCGAGAGACAAATAGAGCGAGAGCGAGCGAGAGATACCTATAGAGAGAGAAAGCGAGAGAGATATGCTCCCGCGAGAGGGGCCGATCTGGTCCAGGACGGCTAGACCCATACCCTGATACCCTGATATCGCATCCCGCAGGAGGGTTGGCAGGTCAAGAATAACCTGGAGGGGGAGCAGAGCGC